TGGGGACTTGGATGGAGCACATGGGGTCTTGCACTTATTTAGCTTGGGCATAGCTGGCTTATGCTACGGTCATAAAACCTGGTACTTCATCTTCTTGGCTAAGATTTATTCAAGAAAGTTCCAGAGATTTCTATTTAGCTGGCAGTGTTTTCTTTAACCACAAACTTTTCCCATCCACAACTGAACAAGGCTCTTGGCAACCTCAGACTTGAAGACCAATACTTGAGTAGTTGGAATGGAAGTTATAAAGCCAAAAGCCAAATCAATGGGCCTTATTACACACACACACACACACACACACACACACACACACACACCCCTCACCACCACCACCATCACCAACAACAACAACCAAAAAAATGAAAACCTTGAGTCTTACACTGTGTCTTAGTTATCTTTTTGCTGTGACGAAACATCACAACCAAAAGAAACTTCGGGAGGAAATTATTTAATCTTATACTTCCAGTTAACAAGTCTATTGTTGAAAGAAGTCAGGGGACTGAAGCAGAGGTCATGGAGGAGTACTGCTTACTGACTTGCTCTGCCTGCTTTCTTATACCATCCAGGACCGCTTGTCCAGGTATGCTACACTCATAATGGATTGGGCCCTCCCACATCACTCATCAATTAAGAAAATCCCCACAAGCTTGATGACAGGCCAGTCTGGTGGGGGCATTTTCTGAGTTGAAGTTCCCTCATTTCAGATGACTCTAGTCTGTGTATGGTTGACATAAAACTAGCCTGCACCACTGTATACATGTATGTCTATTTCCTTGGCCAGCACAAATTACCAATTACCAATTAGGAAAGGTAGATTTCTGGAGGCAAGTTGGTACCTGAGGGGGGTGAACACAGGTAGGGCTGGGGTCGAGCTCAGTGGTAGAGGCTGACTACCCTATGCAAGGCCCTGGCTGTGACTGCAGACAGCAGAAGGACATCATCATGGAGAGCTTGGAAGGGCCCATGAGGTTCACATGCGCACAACCACATGCAGTGATTCCAGCTGAACACTAAGGGCAGACTGTGATGTAATTCTTTGTACTCCCTCATGAATGTAACCAACAATGCAGTGTGGGGCTTAAAGGCCCAGGGACTTGGTGTAGATGGTGCATTCTTTTTTTTTTTTTTTTTTTTTTTTTGGTTATACAACCATCACTACTATCCATTCCAGAACCTTTGATCACACTCCACAAAGGAACGTCACACCCACTTACATATACCCTCCCTGCTCCTAGCCCTTACAACCACTAATCTACTTTCCGTCTCTATGGGTTCACCTATTCTAGACAGTTCATTGAAGTGCAAGCACACAGTCTGTCTGGCTGCTTTCACTTACCCTGCATCTAAGGTTCCTATACTGCAGCATGTATTAACTTCTTTTGATTGAACATCTGTATTATGCAGTTACATTTGGTGTCACTGTAACAAAATACTTGATAGAAACAACTTAAGGGAGGATTTATATTGACCTTTTAAGACAAGGAAGAAGGCCTGCTAGATAGCCAGCAGGTAAAGGTGCCTGCCAAGTCTGATGATCTGAGCTTGACCCCAGAACCCACAAGGTGGAAGGAGAGAGCTCCAACTGCAGGCTGTCCTCTCAGCTCCACATTAACATCACGGGCACGTGCCCTACCCTACACAGCACACAACTCAAGAGAAGAGACACCAGAGCACTCTCCTGTCCTGCGAGGCATCAGCTAGTGAGTGGCAAGCAAGGACAGGGGCCTCACTAACACAGCTCGGCCAGCACCCCAGCATAGACAAGGATCTCACTAAACACAGCTCTGCCAGCACCCCAGCACATAGATCTCAGACTTCCCTGTCTCTAGAACTTAAGCAAAAAAGTGTCTGTTGTTTAAGCCTCCCAGTCTGTCATTTACAACACAAACTGTACCATCAGCTGATGGACATTTGCAATGGTTCTGGGTTTTGGCTATTACAAGCATCATTGCTGTGAACGGGTATACCTGTTTTTTTTTGTTTTTGTTTTTGTTTTTTGTTTGTTTGTTTGTTTGTTTTTTGTGGACAGATTTTCACTCCCACCAGGAACATATCTAGGAGTGAAATCACATGGTGATTCCATGTTTTAAAGTTTTAGAAGACAGACCATACTTTTAGAAATTACATGTGGGCAGGGGAAGATGGCTCAAAGTGCTTGCTCTGCAAGTTTGAGGAATGACTTCCCACCCACAATGACAGCCTTGGAAAGGGAGATCCCGGAGCAAGCTGGCTAGGACAACTAGCTATCTCCTAGAGTTTGGTGTTTGCTTGAGAGGCTTTGCCTTATTGAATAAAGTGCAATACAATCAAGTATGGTTTCTGACACTGACCTTGGGCTTCCATGTACACCAGCACACATGTGCACTCACACCCAGACCCATGCCCCACTGCCCCTCCAGGACAAACAAGCATATATGATACAGGCACACATACAAAAAATAGAAAAATGAAATAAACATGACACATCACATTACATTCCTCCCAGCAATGTATGGGGGTTCCTATTTCTGTACATCTTCACCATTTGCCATTGTCTTGCTAATTAGTTACCCTAGTAGGGCGATACTGCAATGTGGTTTTGAAAAACAGCTCTCCAAGCACTACTGACATCTGTGCATCTTAGTGATTGCCTGTTATCATTTAAGGGTGCTCAAGTTTCTACCATCATAAAGCAAATAAAGAGTTCCCTATACTTGTGGGTTCTGACTATTATTCTCTTTGCAGGCTATTTTGATCTGGCTCCTAAACCTAACCCTTGGCAAAACTGCCCTTGGCTAGCCACCAGTGGCTGCTTTGTTATGAAATCCAGTGGTCCTTTTCATTCTCAGTTCACATTCCCAGTGGTGTTTAACGCCAAGGTCCTTTCACTGAAAACTTTCACTGAAAGATTAAACAGACTTGGTTTGATTCGTGGCACATGCTTCTGTTATCTCTCATCTGTCTCTGGTTGTTCACCTCAGTTCTCTCATCAGGATTCTCTTATACTGCTCATTCTAATTCTTCTTCTTCTTCGTCTTCGTCTTCGTCTTCGTCTTCGTCTTCGTCTTCGTCTTCGTCTTCTTCTTGTTCTTTGTCTCCTGAGCTTGTGAGAAGCTAAGTTCGATCCCCAGGACACTAAAGATGTGTGTTCCCAGTGTGCTTGGTGTGTGTCTGTTTCAGAAGTCACAGCTCAATTTCACATGTCTTCTACCGCTCTCCCACTTTACTATAGACAGAATCTCTCAAGGAGAGACTCTAGCCAGTAAGCCGACAGACTCTGACTCTCTAGCCAGTAAGCCGATGGACTCTATCTGCCTTTGGCCTCCACCCTGAGCACTGACGGTTCAGCCTGAATGAACCATCCGAACCACTGCTTACTCATTGAGCCACATTCTGGTCCCTCATTTAAATCTTGATCTTCACAGAGTAACGCCCCTGAGGTCAGTTAGTACATAATTCTGCTCACTGCAAAATCTCCTCTCCATTGGCTAAATTCCCACTCCGGGTATCTGTCAGCACCTTGGTGTGGATTCCTATTTGCGCTCAAGCCTTATTCCAGACCAAACATTTCACTCCTGTCTCTCTCGCTTTCCCTACTCATGAGTAAGGAAACATGCTTACTCATGAGTAAGTAACATCAGTTACTAAATTCTGCCACTTGAAACAAATCTTAAGTCAGTTGTTTAATTCCTTCTACTCTCCTTGCCTACACTCTGGCCCAAATCCATTCTTTTAATTTTTAAAAAAATTAAATTATATTCTTATTAACTCTCCAAGAATTTCACACAATATATTGACCATATGACATACATCCCAACTCCTCCCAGATCCATCTGGACCTCCAGACCCACTAGCTAACCATAATGTCCTTCTGCTGTTATGGTCCCCTACTCTGTCTCTTCTCCAGCGGGAGCCAGTGTCTTACTGACATGGACATCTCATCCAGCTGATCAAATGAGTTATCAGAAGAGACTGGGCTGTAGGGGCTTTGGAGTTTGATCCACTCGGGTTTCAGTCTTAACATTATTAGCTTTATAGCTGCAAATGATGAGAGGATTGTTTAACTTCTCTATGTCTTTATTGTCTAAGAGAGAGGGAGGAGGGAGGGATGGAGAGAGAGGAAGGAGGAGGAGAAAGAGGAGGAGGAGGAGGAGAAGGAGAAGAATTAGAATTAGAAGAAGAAGGAGGAGGAGGAGGAGGAGGAGGAAGAGGAGGAGGAGAAGAAGAAGAAGAAGAAGAAGAAGAAGAAGAAGAAGAAGAAGAAGAAGAAGAAGAAGAAAGTAAAGAGAAGGAGGAGGAGGAGGAGGAGGAGGAGAAGAAAGTAAAGAGGAGGAGGAGGAGGAGGAGGAGAAGAAGGAGGAGGAGGAGGAGGAGGAAGAAAAGGAGGAGGAGGAGGAGAAGGAGGAGGAGGAAGAAAAGGAGGAGGAGGAGGAGGAAGAAAAGGAGGAGGAGGAGAAGGAGGAGGAGGAGGAGGAGGAGGAGGAGGAGGAGGAGGAGAAAGTAAAGAGGAGGAGGAGGAGGAGGGGTGGGGGGGAGGAGAGTCGATTAGAGCATCATCCCAAAGGCCTCCCTGAAGACTGGTTCACCACTGCACATTTTAAATAGTAAATCCACTTGACCATTGTCTTTATTAAAAACCTTCCAGCCGGGGCAAATCAATGAATCCAACTTTCATCCTCCAGTGTGGGGATTAAATGGACCGACTTTAATGAATGAACTCTTTAAAAAGACAGAGTCCTTTGGTCGCAGAAGCCTGAGGATCAAAAGCACTTCCGCCTTGCAGATGAAGTGCTCCTGAGGAGGCGGCGGGTGCGGGAGGACCCTGAGGGCCTGTCTGCCTGGGGATGCTGCAGGGAAACCCAGACCTCCATCGCTACTCCCCAGCCACGGCCTGTTACTATGGCGACAGTCCGGCCGCCCCGCGGGGCTCACCAGACCGCGGCGTAACCTGCAGAAAGCTGCAGCGAGGCGCGATGAGGAGCCGCCCGAGCCGCCCTCCAGGCCCGCGCCGCGCCGCTCACCTTGAAGGACATCCTGCACCTGTCCGCGGCGCCACCGCCCGCCGTCCCCGCTCACTCTCCGCGCCCGCCCGCTCGCCCGCCGCAGAGGGGCGGCCCCGGCGCTCCTGCGGTCGCTGACAGACAGGGCGGTGCCCGGGCACGCGCAGGGGCGGCCAGGCTGGCGCGCGCACTGGCCCCTGGCCCGCCCGCGCTGACACGCCTCACCCCGCCGGCTCTCCCGAGCTCTCCGCACTCACGCCACGCTCCTCAGACGGCTTCCACGTACAGAGTTCTCTAGACTCCCGGTCCAGGACACTCGCCACACCAACACCATGCTTCCACGTACACCACTCTACACCGAGGACACCCTCCACATCAACGTCACATTTCACATTTCACACAGGGTTCTGCACTCCACTCGGACATCCTACCACACACACACACACACACACACACACACCTTGTACACACAGTGTGCATAAACACCCAGAACACCCTCCACACTGTCTCCTACACTACACGTAGAGCTTCCACACCTAGTGTCCACGCTCACACAGATGCCCTTCACACTAGCATCAAAATTCAAATGGGTCCCAGAGAGTTCTTCACGGATACAGCTTCCATATACAAAGTTCTCCACATTGCACAATGACATTCTCCACACTCATGCCTCACACCGTTCACACAGATTCTTCATGCAGAGTTCTCGAGTCTGCACCCAAGATGCCCTCCACGCAGATGCCCCACGTACACCACACACACGCAAAAGGTTTCTTTCAAAAACGTTGCCACTAACAGTACCAAACAAAGTGGAGACCTCCACAGAGTCTTGGCGGGGGACAAAAGAGGAAAAGAATGATAAAGATGAACATAAAAATAGCCAATTGGAAGAGTGGTGAAATACTGGACCAATTCTTCCTAAAACCTCATTCTAAAATACCAAAGTAATTTCTCCTCTAGTGAAGGCAGGAGAAATTAGCAGTGGGAAGGTCATTTTTTTAAAATTAAAAATATATTAGTTTTAATGCAGAAAAGTTTAAAAAAGGAAGATTCCAATGTAAAGGTAAAGGTGGCTGTCTCCTACTGCTGCACTGTGGCCCACTCATTCACTCATTCACTCATTCACTCATTCATCCATCCACTCATTCATTCATTCATTCATTCACTCATTCACTCATTCACTCGTTGGTTCATTCACTCATTCATCCATCCATTCATTCATTCATTCATTCATTCATTCACTTATTCACTCATTGACTTGTGTCTTTCTTCCTCTTCTCAACGGCATTTGTAATGAATATTTCATTTTAAAGTTGTTAAAAATACAAGTACAAATACAATTTTGAAAATTGAATTCTGAAAGTAGAGACATTTTTTCTCTTGTAAACTTATGTTCGTCAGTTCTTGCTATTAGTTCTTACACTAATGAAGTCTTTTTCAGGAACTCCTACCTGTGTCTGGTGTTTTTCTCCTAACAATCCAAAGTTTCAGGTTTTTGACTTTGCTAATGACAGAGTAATTAATCCTGTTTGGCTGTAAAGACCTTTCCCCTTACACCGCCACAGACCTTCTGTTGAAGTTCTTTCTGGCAGCCTCTGGCCAGGGTCCTTGTCAGTCCCTGGAAAGAATGCAACCCGAAGGCAACCCATGCACCTGTCTGATGGCATTCTTCTGGGTCTCTGTGGGTGCTTAATATTCCAGCCAGTTGGCTAAGTTCATCCTCATAAAATAGTTGCCAGAGAGAACGAAACTGTCACCATCACGCAAACCTTTCTAAAATGGCCCACCCCAAACTTTAGAGGTGACCCATGCTGAGCCTAACATGAAGGGGAGGTCATACTTACCCTCCTTTCTTATCCATAGAAGTCTGCTTCCTTTCTTGCCCCTAGCAATTGTTTACTATTTTTAGAACCTCAGGGAGAGGCCTTGTGAATCTTATTAGTTTGAGTTTTTTGAGAGGTTTGTTCACTTACTGAGTCTCATGAACCTTACCCCTCCTTCTTGGAGAGAAAGTTTTTAAATTTCATGAACCTTAAGGAACCTATCTCTGGGATTAAAAAAAAAATTTTTTTTTTTGAGACAGGGTTTCTCTGTGTAGTCCTGGCTGTCCTGGAACTCACTCTGTAGACCAGGCTGGCCTCGAACTTAGAAATGGGATGAACTTTTTAAAAAGCAAGGGGACTCTGGGGTGTGAGAGGAGTGGGCTATACATCAGATGTCTCTACCACGACATGGTGATATGGCCTTTACCATAAGATTTTGGGCAGTTGGAAGCACCACGCTCTTGGACTTTCCAGACTCCAGAACTGTGAAGCAAATAAACCTTAGCTCTTTATAAATTACTCAGCTTTAGATGTTTTGTTATAGCAACAGAAAATAGGCAAAGACAGGGTCCATGTCTCTTGTTCTTGTCCAAAGCTTTCTCTGGTCTTGTAACCTTGTAAACATACAGGATTTACCTGTGAACATGTGACAGATTCTGATTTCTGAGACTTAAGGGTAGGTGTTCTGGGTGGTGGTGGTGGTGGTGGTGGTGGTGTGTGCTCTGTGGATGTGCTTCTGAGACATTTCCTTGATTTGGAGATATGTTCAGGAAGTGGTTCTGTGTGGATATGACACCAAGGATCGCTGCAACCACATCACAACTGTAAGGAGGAGGCCCTTAAACAGGATCGACTCCGTTTTATAACAGGAAACGTGTAAAGACATGTCTGGTACTTGTAGATACAAGTCTGGAAGTAAAAGTTGTGCTGTGATAACCAGCTGTGATGAGATCAGACCTCGGCAATAACAGACACGAGTGGTTATCTGCCATGCACGTCAGCAGTAACGTTAAATCAAACATAAAAGAGGAGCCCGATCAGAGCACTTCATCACACTTGTAGCCATGACTGGCCAACATGATCCTCCGGACAAAGCCTCCTCAGCACCCGGTCATCAAAGAGTTAACCGAGAGACCAACAACCCCAGCTTCTTCATGGTCAAGCACCCTGCAAGGTCAAATTAGCAATTCAACTATCTAAGCCTGACCCCACCTTCCCAGACTCCAGACCTGTAACCCAAAACCATCAAAAGGACTCAGGTCATATAATACATGAATAACTGATGTGTTTATTGCTATGCTTATTGCTTTGGTAATTAGCAACTTTGTTATTTGTGTTTATTGTGCATATTGTTAGAGGCAACGCATAGGAAATGTGGCAATATCTTGTTGTAGCAATTGCCTTAATATATTGTCTGCTATGCATCATTAAAGATGTAACTGAATCCCCAAACCTCTGTTTCTCTGGCTTACTCTCTCTTCTCTCTCATGGAGCTGATGATCTCACAGTCAAACCCAGTATGCGATCCCTGACTGAAGCAGGACCTGTCGTTCCTCTCTCTGTAGGGTATTCTAACCCCTTATCAATAGCCTGCTCCTGACAGATAAGAGTCCCTGCTCTCGACAACAACTTCTGAAGAAAATTAGTAGCAGAACAAATGATGATGTAATTAAGGCCATGTGTCATCCAATGACCTTCTTGCCCTGAATGACTTGTTTAAGTCACCTGCGGTTGATTTCTCTTACTGTCCACTGGAAAACTCCTGATATTGGAAGTGAGATTGAAGTACAAGGTAGGAACAAGGGATCAGGAACTAACCCATATTAGCTGAGGGGCACCGAGTTAGGACATTTTGAATGTGCCTCAGGCTTTAATTTTTCCAATCCTAGACACAAGCTATGACTGCTGAAAAAAGAACTGAAACCCTTGGTTGTGCTCATTGACGGGATTTGAGCCCAGGCTAGCCAAGCCCTGGTCTCCTAGCATATTCACTTGTTTGTGTGCAAGTGTTTGCTCAATCAGTGTCAGAAGGAACTCACTTGCTCTCCAGTTCACAACCTTAGGACTGTAGGTAATACTGTAGGAATTTCAGGTCTCAAGAATCTCAGGTTTCAATAAACTAAAAAATTAACTATCCTGTGTTATCTAGAAACCGGGCCTTGGAACGGTGGTTGATGTCAACCTTTGTGATTATTGTTTAAAGAGATGATTGTAGAATTGCCCTCATAAACTCTGTGGAAATGGTATAAAAACTGCCCTTAACTTTGGCTCGGGGTTTCTCCTGCCTATATGTGAAGGAATCCCAGTGCACACTGGTTATTATCAATAAACCTCATGCTTTTGCAGTGAATTCCCTGTCCATGAGTGTTTCTGCAGGACCACATCCCCAAGTTTGGATTTTAGAGTCCAACAATACCTGACCAACAGATATCACCTGTTGCCTGTCACCTGAGGGTCACTGAATAAGTCCTTCTGCCTTCATTTTAGAGAGCCTCCAGGTCCTGACAGTAGTTCTGGAACACCTTGGAGGGGGACACAATTGTCATGTGGTATAGTCTACACCCATTATTAAGTGGCTGCATCAGGGGTTGAAAATCTGAGGCTGTTTTTCTGACAGTGTCTTCAAAGAGCAAAGAGTTGATATCAGGGTGCTGATCATTAAAAACAGAGGCCATACAGGAATTTCTGCCATTATTTTTGATAATCTCTTCAATGAAAATTCTTAAGGTTGATTATATATGATATATAAACCCATAATCAAACTGAAACATTGCAGAGGATAACAATGACTTGTAATGACCTGAAATGCCATTTGAAAACTAGACCCCAAGTCTTTTCTAGTAGTGTAACAATATCAGAGTTACATGGATTCCACTATTTACTAAGCATAATAATGGGCATGTTTTCCTCTGGCATTAAACACTCTTCCAATGTCTTCCTTCAAAGGGCTGCATTTAAAATGGGATATATTGAACCCACAGCTCTGCCTGCCTCCTGGGAGGCCTGCTGCTACCCAGGATGACCTATCCCAGAGGCCTGCTGCCACCCGGCACGACCAGGTCAGACATTCACACCCAGTCTTCCATCTGCTGTCCCCACCACCCAGCAAATTCAACAGCCATGAGTTCTGTTTCATCCTTTCTCAGCTCCATCTTTCAGTCCACACCTCCACCAGCAATTGTGGATATGTACTCTACTCCTCAGCCCACAGCTCTGCCTGTCTCCCAGAAGACCTGCCTTCAATTGGAACAACCACCCCACAAG